TTCTGTGGGTGAGACACAGACGAGTTCTCCACTCTGGGACCCTCCACAATCCCCACCACAGCAATTCAGCAGTGGCTGCTCAGCCTGGCTGGGACRGGGCTCCTCCTCTTCTGGGCACCCCATGGGTGGCTCAGGGACAGGGTTTCTCCTCTGCTGTTTCTCCTCATCTCCCTGTGGGTATGGAGCAGCAGCAGGAGCAGTGGCACTGCCCTGCTCACTCCAGGTTTTTTTTTGGGGGCTGATCCTCACAGTTTCACAGTTTGTGTTTGCTCCCTGCCTTTACAAGGATGAACAACAAGGCAGACCTGCCCCTGAGGGCCTGGAGATGTTTCAGGCAGGGCTGGATCCCCTCTGGGAGGCTCAGAGATGATGCCCTGGGGGTCACACCTCCCTGGGGACATGCAGGGAACTTTGTCCCTCCAGGCTGTCACCTGTCACCAGGCCACAGAAACCCTCACAAAGGCGCTGAGCTTGTCACCACGGGGTTGTGGTGTCCTCATTGCTCTTCCAGGACAGTTGTCACTCCAGCTCTGCTCATTAGGAGCCCCTCCCCTGCTTTGTCAGCCTGTTTATTCCTGGCTGCTTTGTGTGTGTTTATTTCTGTGCCAACGCCATCGTTTCAGCTTCAAAAAGCTGTTCTACCTCTTTGCCACAGACCTCCTCCACCTGCTGTATTTATACACACCAATCACATCCACCACTTCAAAACACAGAGTCCTAAAAACCCTCAAGTCCTTGTCCAGAGCCTCAACAACAGGATGCTCTCACCCATGGCTGCSTGGAGCATTTGATTGTTTTCTGAACCACTTTGCAGATGGATCTGTTTGCCATTTTCCAGAGGCTCTTTTTATGTAGATAGRGATGATTAAAATCACCTTGACATCCATCTCGCAGAAGAGGAGCCCAGACACCCTCTGACTCTGCAGAATGAGGAGTTTTGGGGGTGACAGTGATGATCTGGGAGCAGCCAGGATTGGGGGGGATGTGGGATTTCGTGGCCTTGGTGCTGCTCAGAGCAAGGTCAAACCCACGGTTCTGTCACRGGGAGAGGCAATCAGTCACAGCACGTGCCAGCAGGGGAGGGACAACGTGGAGAACAGCGAGGGCTGTTCAAATTARAGTTAATCTGTCACTAATCTCTGCCTGGGAAACGCAGGAGGGAAGAAAAATTGGGCAATGTTTGTGAGYGATGGCTGGCTGCTCCGAGAGCTGCKGAGGGTTTGTTAATCCCAGMGGGAGGAGACAGCTCTGTGCAGAGRKGGGGATTCATCCCAGATGGATTCATCCCTGCAGATGYGCTTGCAGAATTCCCTGCTGGTGAWATATTKGGGAAATRTCCCRRTTTTGGGGCTGTTGTTCCCAGAGGTGAGTCCTGCACTGGGAATGGGCACAGCCCCCAAACTCCAGGAGGGTTTGGACAGCTCTCCCAGCAYAGGRTGGGATTGTTGGGGGGTCTGTGCAGGGCCAGGGSTTGGACTGGATSATCCCTGTGGGTCCCTKYTGTGGATCCACTGAAGGATTTGTGGCTGAGGCACAGCAGAGGCCAGGGAAGAGCAGTGTGGAGAGAGCTGTGAGAGCCTGACACCCCCTGAGCTGCCAAAGATCCCAAACCCRGGCTGAGAGGGATGCACTGGGATGGGATGTGCTTTTTGGGGTTGGAATCAGTGCAAATTCTGAGTGCAAAGCTGTCCTGCTTGACCTCCCCACCACTCCTGGTGCCTCAAGGATGATGAATTTGGGACTCCCCACAGATCCTGACTGTGACTTGGGCTGGATTTGCACCACCTGGGAGAGGACTTGAAACAGGGGTTTCAGAGGGATCTGGTCTCCCTCTGCATATCCGTGAGGAAAAGCCCTTTTAAGGACAATAAGAGAGCAAGAGTTTAATTTGCATGCTCTGAACGAGCTGCTGGAGGTGCTGATCTCCCTGCCCAGAGCTCTGAGGGAGGCAGATTAGGCTCTTGAAGTTAAAATTAGTTTTTGTTGAATATTCCTCCCCCCTGGCTGAAGGCAGTTGTGTCACAGCTGAATCACGATGTCCTCCCGAGCRCTGGGGGGACTGGTCCCTGCCCTCCACGCTGGGAACGGGGTTTGCTGATGCTTGGATGGGTAAATTGGGCTGTCAGTGGAGCTGTGGGGTGTGATGAGCTCAAATCCAATGATTTAGCAGTGTTTAATTGGGTCGTGAGGAGCTGCAAGAGGAGACGGAGCAGCCACTGGGAATGTGGCTTTGTCCCATCATCTGCCACCAAGGTGGGTGGCAGGAGCTGCCAGCACCACGCTGGGAGGGACAACCCTGCAGATTGGGGGTTTCTGGCCAAGATGGACCCATTTTGGGGCATTTTGGGGCAGCACCCAAGGCTGTGTGGCTCGCAGGTTTGGGGATTGGCAGGTAGGGTTGGTGGCACTGCACAGAGGGTCAATCTCTCTGCTGACCTGTTCTGGGGTGGCTCTAAAGGCAGTGGGGCATCCCTGTCACTCACCTGAGCTATGTGGCAGCGACTCACCCCATAAATCCCCAATGGGGCCGTTTGTCTCTGCAGATTGGCCACTGGCATGTGTCGCAGGGGCTCAGCATGGACAGCAGGATCTTCTCATCCAACATCTCTGAGAGTTTGTTCAACACCACGCTCATCGTCACCACCATCCTGGTAAGGGAGGGGGGCACCTGCCCTTCCCCCAGCTCAGCCCTCTGGGGTGGGGTCACCTGGGCTGCTGCTCCCTGTTCCTGCCCCCGGAGCTGATTCTGTACAGGACAGGCAGCAAATCTCTAATTGGTGGCGATGTAATTAAGATCAAGATGATTTTTGATGAGGAAATGGTGTTTGATGTGTTCGGGGAGTGGGATGGGATCCCAGTGTGAGTGGGGTCACACTGTGAGTGGGGTCACACTGCCCGTTTGTGTTCACCTCTCAATGGGGTCCTTGTTCAACCTGCAGATGCTGATTGGAAGGGGCACTTCCCTCTTCTACCCATAAAATTATAAAAATTCGCCAAGTTGAGCAGGATTTTTACAAAAACTTCACATCCACAGGCACTGCTGTCTGTGTTCAGCAGGTTCCCCTTCCAGCTGTTCCCTGCCCAGTGATCCTTTTGCTTTTTCCTAAAGACACCCAAACTCCCGGCTGTTTTTTCACATCCCCTAAAGCTGTYGCAAAGGGGCACAGAGTGCAGAAGTGGCTTTGTGCCAGGAGAARTGGATGTCCTGCATGATTTGGAGCAGTCACCGGGCTGTTCTGGCACCTCCCAGTTGCAAACAGCCCCCAAATCATCATCCTTTAGCTCTGATTGATGTTCTAAACTGGGATAAATTTGCTGCAATCCCACCCAGCAGAGGAACACCAGTGTGGGGACAGCTCTGAGAGCCTGACACCACCTGAACTCCCAATCTCCCCATATCCACTCTGACAGGCATGCATTGGGGTGGGCCGTGCTTTTTGGGGTCGGAACTAAATTTTTTTAAGCTTTCTTCCAAMCCAACCCCACTCTGTGAGCCTCTGKCARTGCCCTCCCTGCTCGGTGCTGGCTAAGATGGGAATGACAGCTGCCCAGTTTCACCGCAGGAAAACCCTTACTTAATGCTCAAGTGGAACCACCAGGAGCTGGARGGCAACGACCGCTACGAGGGGTTCTGCGTGGACATGCTGAAGGAGCTGGCCGAGATCCTGCGCTTCAACTACAAAATCCACCTGGTTGGGGACGGYGTCTACGGCGTCCCCGAGGCCAACGGCACCTGGACGGGGATGGTCGGGGAGCTGATCGCCAGGGTAAGGGAATTAATTGCTTTATTTAACTCTTCCTGCTGGGATTTGGAGCTGAAAATGTGAWTTTAGATAGATGGGGTGTGGGTCGAGCTCTTTCTTCAGGCAGAACCAGAGGACACAGCCTTGAGCTGCGCCAAGGGAATATTGGTTGGATATTAGAAAAAAGTTCTTTACACAAAGAATGATAAAGCACTGGAATGGTCTGCCCAGGAAGGGAGTGGAGTCATCATCCCTGGTTGTGTTTAAACAAAAATTGGATGTGGTGCTTGGTGCCGTGGTTTGGTTGAGGTGTCAGGTTAGGGTTGGACTGGAAGATGTTGAAGGTCTCTGCCAACCCTGGTGATTCTGGGATTCTGTGCTTTGGGAAGGCTTGGGGGTGATGAGGATGGATGTGGGGGTTCAGTCCATCTGGGAGGATTGGAGCAGTGAATTTCCCTTTACTGCTGATGGAAAATGCATTTCTTCCCGTGGTGTGGCGGTGTGGGGAGAAATCAGAGCACCTGGGACGCTCTCAGGGGTGCTCACTTTGTTGGAAATTAAGTTTGGACTCTGAGATCCTGTGCAAAAACTCGTTAGAGCACGGATTATTTTTTGTCCCAACAGAAAGTTCAATGAAAACTTGCGATAGGAGAACGCAGGGTTTGGTAAAACGCGGAAAAAAAAACAACTTAGAAACCACACTGCTTTAAATGGAAGTAAGAAAGAATTCCCATTTCTGCCCAGAAAAAGTTTTGGCAGGTTCAGTTCATCTGCTTAACTCTGAGTATTGCTTTTGGAGAGGAACATTTTCTCTTTGTTTGAAGAGATCTTTTCACTGCTCAGCTCTGTGGCATTGCTGCCCAGCAGAAAGGCTGGAAAATKGATGTTTTTGCAGGGTTTGACCAGAATTCTGCGTTCACCTGGGCTCAGCCAGCCTGGACCCCCTCCCTGCTCTTTATTTTCCTCTTTGGCCCTTCCCCAGTCTGTCTAAATCTTAAACACAGCTCACAGAACGCTCTGAGATCCTTGGGAAAATAGATTTAGCCACAGCCAGCAGTGGGATTGGCGCTGTTAAACCAATATTTCCTGACTGATTTCCACCCTGCCTTGTCATTGCTGCTGAGCCCCTGAGAGCCCGGTGACACTTCCCCAGCTGGTGACAAATCCAGGCTGACGTGGATTGGGGATAATCCCCCCACCGTGGGAGAGGAGACCCTGAGTCATTTGCCTTCTGCAGAGCAGGGGAAGGAGAGCCCAAATCCACCCCCTGKGGCTGCAGGCAGGGATTGAGGCTCCTGCCACGGCTTTGCTCCTTGGAAAATGAGCATCACTTCAATGTGTGGTTTATTTAAAGGGCATTGTGGAGTTTGGTTGAAGGTTGGGCTTGGTGGTTTTGGGGTCTTTTCCATGATTCCATGGCCTTTAATGACTCCATGATCTCCAGAAGATGCCCACTGGCACTTGGAAGTTTGGGCTTGAGGGTTTTGGGGTATTTTCCATGATTCTGTGGCCTTTAATGATTCCATGATCTCCAGAAGGTGCCCACTGGCACTTGGAAGGTTAGGCTTGAGGATTTTGGGGTCTTTTCCATGATTCTGTGTCCTTTAATGACTCCATGATCTCCAGAAGATGCCCACTGACACCTTGAAGGGTGGGCTTGATGATTTTGGGGTCTTTTCTGTGATTCTGTGGAATCTTTAATGATTTCATCATCTCCAGAAAACACCCACTGGCACCTTGACGGTGAAGGGTGATCTCATCCCACTTTAGGAATTAAATCTGAGTGTCTGAGGTCAGCTGGGACAGCTCAAGGTCTAACACTGTGAGGGATTTTGGGTTTTCTGARGGTCAGAGACAGGCACTGAACAGACTGGAGACTCTCCTCTCCCTCTCCCTGTCTCCTGGTCACCCTTCCCTGAGCAATAACCCAGCACCAGCTGAGATCCCACCTCCATCTGCTCTTTYAAAGATCTCCTGCGAGGCTGTTTGTAAATGCTCCAGGCTGTTGGCATCGTTTTCACCCACCCCTGTCTCTGTGCACACACAATTTCACTCCTGCAGCTTTCCTGTGGGGAGGCACGAGGGAAAGAGCTCAGAGCACCATCTGATCACAGGCAAAGAAAAGCCATCAAACTTTTGGCCTGCTAACCTTGGCAGTGCCTCTTCATTAAACGGGACCTTCTGGAGGGTTGTTTTTCTCCGGTGATAAGTGTTTCAACTTCATCTTCTCACAGCAACCATTTGTTTCTTCTGCAGCTCGAATCTTATTTAGGTTTTTTTTTTTTTTTTTTGCTTCTGCTTCTGCAGGGCAGAGCTGTCAGAGGCTGTGAGGCCGGATCACAAATTGGAGAAGGGAAACAGCTCGCTCTGTTGTTCTCCCTGTATCCCTGAGAGTTTTTWTAATGGTTTCAGCAATGGTTTTGATCAATGCCAGGGATTGGGCTCAGGTCAGCCAGGGCAGAGCTGTGTGGGTTTGGTGTTGTGTTTATTCAGGGCTGCTTGGGATGGTGTTTTTTGAGGGTATTTCACTGCCCATCCTGGACATTCAGTCCCCGAGGGAGTTTATCCCTGATTCCAGCCCTTTGTTCAATTATCCCATGRGTTCTAGCAGCTCCTCTTTCAGTGGATTTATCCCTTGGACATTCTGCTCCTTTAGGGATCACCTGGGKCACAAAACTCTCACAAAAATCCCAAATCCTTCCCAAAGTGAAATCTCTGCCTCATTCCAGCACAATATCCCTGTAGGAAAGCAATTCCCCCTTGACCCTGCTCAGCCATCAGAAAATAAGGYTTGACTCACACTCACTTAATGTTCAGCACCAAAAGGTCACAGAATTATCCAGCTGCACCCTGTAATCCCTCTGTGGCACGGAATCTCCTCAGAGCAACTCCAGGCTGTTGGAGGGAAAAAAAAAAAAAGTTTCATTTCATTGCCTCTAAATTAACCAGCTATTGATTTATTCTTAAGCGCTGGGAATTCCATTACAGCTAATTGAGTGCCCTGATATGATTGAGCAGGATGCTGTAGCRACATAAATTGGGTGTTGACCCAAATTCACCTGTCCAGATCTTATTGACCTGCTCAAAAACAGCTTGGGAGGTGAGGAATAAGGGGATTGTGTGGCTTGGGAAGGAATYCTGAGCAATTTGTGGAGGTTTGGCTGGGGAGAAATCACTTGGAAGGACTCACAGAATCACTGAGTGGTGATTTATTCCAACCCCTTTACACCTTCCACCACCCCAGGGTGCTCCAAACCTCAGACAAACTGTCCTTGGACATTTCCAGGGATGGGGCAGCCACAGCTTCTCTGGGAATTCCATCCCAGCCCCTCCCCATGCTCACAGGGAGGAATTCCTCCCCAATATCTCATCCTCCTCTCTCAGTTTGAAGCCTCTCCCCCTTGTCCTGACACTCCAGTTCCTGATGAAGGGTCCCTCAAGCCYATTGTGCAGTGAGAGATGTCACAAACCCAGAAAAGCCCGGGCTGATTTGTCCCTGTGAGCGTGCAGGGCAGGGAGATTGAGCTCCCTGCTGGTTCTGGAGTGAGCAGGGCACTGAAACCACTCTCCCTGGCTGTGGCACAGACAAAAAACACGGGAGAGCAGCAAATCTTCCCTTCTCCGACTTTCTGGCGTCGGGGACTTAAAGGGCTTTTGGGCTGGAAGAATTACACCCTGCTCCTCGCCGCTGCAGTGCAGTGTCTGCCTCAGTCCCTGACGCTCGTCTGCTCTTCCCCTTCTCTCTCTCCTCGAGCTGAAATGAATTCTCTGCCRTGACACGGACCAAGGGATGTATTTTCACAGCAACATGACAGCCTTGTCCTTGTCCCACCGKGCCTGGCTTGAATCTGGCCGGGATCAGTGGTGATCAAAGCTCTTTTTAAAGGGAAGGACACGAAGCTTTCCATCTCATGTGGCCTCAGGAGCAGCAACACTGACAACAGGAAACCCTTTAAAGCTTTGGGGTGATGGTTTTCCTTGCTGGTTGTGCTTTTCCTTCAGCTGCTCAGCAGGAAGGGGGAAGGAGGGAGAAGATTCTGTGGAATTGGCAGAGTCCTGCTCTCATCTCGCAGTGGGTGGAGAGGGAAGCTGTGTGTGGGGGAGGGAGGCAGGGGCAGGGTGTCTGCAGGCTCTGGTGGTGGCAGCTGGCACAGGGGGGCTCCAGGAGAGTTTGGGGAGYGAGGAGCTGGGGTTTGTGGTCAGAGAGGACGGGCAGAGGGGTCTGTAAAGCACTGCTGGAAAGGAGATGAGGAGGGTGGCATGAGCTGGGCTGGTGTCACTGCTGTCCCTGAGAGCTTGGGGTCCCCATTGCTGCTGCTTCACCTCAGCTGGCTCTGCCACGGGCAGGGGGCACAGCTGGCACGGGCTTTGCCCTCCCAGCCCACAGAGAGCCCAGGTGACACCTGCACTGAGCGCTCACCACCCTGCCCTGCCCGCGCCTGGCACGGCGAGCTGTGGCCCCCGGCGCTTCCAGCCTGTCGCTTCTCATACACCACAACTCACACTCGTCCTTAAAACAACCCCAAACACCTGTTTGGATCAACCCTGCTGCCCTGAAAGCAAGAATGTGCATCTGAGCGTGGCAGGGAGCTGCATGGAATAGCAGAGACCTTCTGGAGATGGTCCTACAGGGAGCGGGGGGTGACAGCCCGGTGGGGTGACAGCTCTGCAGTGGGGTGATACCTGACAGCCAGGTGGGTCCTGAAGCTTGAACGGCTTTTTCAARAGGCTTTTTGAGCCTCCTGGAAATCTTTGGGGACAGGTTTTGCTGGCCCTGGTCACGCTGCCAGCGCTCCGTGGGCAGCGCTGGTGACAGCGGCGCTGGCAGATGCACCCAGGGGATGCGGCAGGGGATCAGGAGCTGCTCAAGCAAGGAGCTTGATGTCCCTGCGCTCGCAGAGCTGTCCTYTGGCTCCTTTTCCAGATGTTTGACACGGACACAGCCCCAAATCCGGCTCCACCGGCGCTCTCTCCCCGCTCGGAGGGCTGGGAAGCGCTGCGGGCCGGTTTGGGGCTGTTCCCCG